TTGCTCTTGATAGGGCTTTTATTCTAACACAATAATAAATTTTCTTAACATTTAGTTTTATTTTTATAGAGTTAATCTTAGCAGTTCTTATAGGTCTGTTTATACAGGACTAACAATGGAAAAATGTCTGAGAGCTCACATCCTCAAAGAAAATTCTAATGAAATAGTGTTTTTTTATACAGGTCATTAGTCAGAGAAGTGAAACAAATGTTGTCCTCCTACTAAGCTATTACCTCACCTCATTATTGAAAACATGAAGCAGCTGAGAGTTACAGTATATCATTTTCATAAAATATTAGTTGTTGAAGAGCTAGACTCCAGGCATTCCACGTTATTTTTTCCTATTCATTCAAATCCAAAATGTTGCTCATTGAAACTTTCTCTATTAATGACTGTTACAGTGAGTCTGAGACTGTTGGATGCCCAGTAATTCATAACCAGCTCAGGACTTGTTCACTTTAAGGTCAGTTATTCATTTCCTGAGCTGGTGATCATTAACAAGAAATCATCATCTGCTATAACTGCATAGAATTAATAAAAAAGAAAGCAAGAGGTTTTACTTCAAGAATCTGGACTAAAAAGCTACCAGATTTCTAGGTGCTTCTTTCCCTTCCTCCCTCTTTGCTATTCACCATTGAACCAAACCTCTTAGTCTCCAGTTTATGTGCCTGATGCACAATAAGCCAATCACTGACACACTGGTGCTTGAAATGGAGAAAGGTTTATTCAAATTGGCCAAAAACGAGAAGGAGGAAGGATAGGTTCTCTCAAATCTGCCTTAACAGAAAAAGAAAGCAGAGGATTTTATAGAGCTAAGGAGCTTGCCAGGAGGAATTTCAGAGAAACAGAGAGGGAAATCCGTGTTCCTTTCATACCAGATAAGCCCTTGGGCAGTTAGACTTCTGGGTGTCAACAGCAGCTGCGGCTGGTTTTCTGGTGATTGTAACTTCCTTAAAGACATTCTTTTTCTTCTGCAAAACAAGCTCATAAATCCTTGTGACCCTTGAGTCACCCCTCAGGTTAAACAAGAAAACAGAAAATTAACAAGTTTAACTTCTTTTCATCTGTGTCTATATTGGCAACAAGGTCGAAGGGTAATCATGTTCTTATTGAATATTTACAGTAACCCTCAGGTACCCGTCTTCACTGTCTCATTTTAGTAGGGAAATAAGTTGCTGGTGAGGTTCAGTTGAAGGTTCCCCACCCCAAAAGTAGCCTTGATGGGTACAACAATGGTGAAAAATGGTCTAGGAGCAGAGAGGACGGGCCTTGAAATCTGCCACATGGGAGATGCCACACAGGAGATGTGCCCTGGGCTGACTCCTCATGGGCCAGGAGGAGTTTCTGAGCAAAGCAGATAGTGGGGAGAATTTCTAGTGGAATAAGGGGTGTGCACCAAGTCAGGGAGAAATTAAAGACCATAAGGTTTTCAAAGAACTCTAGTATACTGATAGGGCTAGAGTATAAATTGGGAGGGAGGTTGGCTGAGAACTGTGGCCAGACGTGTAGCTAAGAGTCAGATGATGAAGGATGCTCTGTGCTCTGCTAAGGATAGTGGTTGGTATCTAGCCAAGAAGAGATACTGAACATTCTGATCAAGGGACTGTCACAGACATGTTTGCAATTTGACAGAGAATGGATTAGAGGGAGGGAGGCAAGACTGGAGATAAGGAAACTAAATAGCAGTATGAAAAGTATCAGGAAAGATAGATAAGAGAGTTTGACAGGGGAGGGCTGGAGAGGAGGAGAGAGAGGGAAGGGTGACACTAAGATTTCTGGCTTGGGTGACTGGTTGGATTCCCTGCTGAAGGGAACATAAGAGAAATGGAGGTGAGGGGAGGAGGGGAGTGATAGTAAGTTCACTTATTATGAACATGTCCAATAGGTGTTAGATAAATGGCTCTGAAGCACAGAGGTAAACTTTTGAGAGAGACTGGAAAATCATCAGTATATAAGTGGTAACTGAAGTATTTCTGAGTTTCTTTCCAGCCCTTAAATCCTGTGGTTCAATGAATAACGTAATCTCTTAGACAAATGCCCATTTCAGGAAGTCTAAAATTAGCAGTGGCCCGCGTTAAGTGATTTGCTGACATGATGCAGTTACTTTCTCAAGGTTGTGATCAGTAAATACATTGTAATCCCAGGCTTATGGTGACATTGAAAATCCATCAGAACAGATTTATTGAGTGTCTTCTTTGGGTTAGATGCTGCAAGGGAGATTCGTTTTTTTAGATGTGAAATAATTTCATTGAGTTTTTGGTTCACGTTGAGACAGAAAAAAGGAAGGATAGAGGTAAAAATGTTGCACTAAGGTCAAGAAGTACGATTTGGTAGGAAGACAGTGAATTCAGTTTTAGACTTGATAAGTTTGAGATTATAGCAGAAGATCAAGTGGAAATATTAGGAATAAGGAGGATCCTGGCTTCCTTCTGAGGATTTGGGATTCATTCCAAGGACTGTGGTAACTGAAGTCAGGAGAGTCTGGAAATAGTGGAGAGGGGAGTATTGAGGATGCTGCAGATCCCAGAGAGGGCCTGAGCCCTGGCAGCCACCACTTGCAGGCTGCGAAAGGGTGAGGGCAAGCCAAAGTGGTTGAAGGTAGAACAAGAATAATATTCTGCCATGGGTCATGAAAGAGAGTTCAAGGAGGGAGTGTTGGCCAGACTTAGAAGTCAAGGGTGATGGTGACTGACTGGAAAATGATCATCAGATTTAATGATAGGTCAGCCATTGGTTGGTAGTCTGGTGGTTAAAATTCGGCGCTCTCACTGGCATGGACTGGGTTCATTCCCAGTCAGGGAACCACACCACCTGTCTGTCGGTTGTCATATTGTGGCGGCTGTGTGTTGCTGTGATGCTGAAAGCTATGCCACCAGAATTTCAAATACCAGCAGGATCACCCATGGTGGACAGGTTTCAGCAGAGCTTGCAGACTACACAGACTAGGAAGAAGGACCTGGCCACCCACGTCTGAAAAAATTGGCCATGAAAACTCTATGAATAGCAGCAGAGCGTTGGCTGATATAGTGCCAGAAGGTGAGAGGAGGGCACAAAAAGACCAAGCAGGGTTCTGCTGTGCTGTACTCAGGGACACTAGGAGTTGGAATCCACTCAACAGCGCTAACAACAATGGCCGTTGGTGGCTTTTCTCAGAGTACTTTTGTGGAATAAAGAGAAGGTCAGATTGTAGGTCATGGAGGAGGAGCAGTAATAGTTGGCATGTATTGTATGCTTCCTACGTTACATGTCAGGCAACGTTCCAAGCACTTTATGTGTGTAGTTTTGTTGAATCATCCCAGTAATTCTAGGAACATACCAATATTGTTAATATTATTAGTATTGTTACCATTATTTCCTTTTTACTACTGAGATATATTAGGAAATAAAGGCAATGAGTGTAGATAGTTCTTTTGAGCAATAGAAGGAATGGAAAAGCACAGTAGGTGACATTGTGGTTAAGTGGAAGCTTTTCCAAAGATATTTTAATATTTTTGAAGGCAGTGAGGGAAGGAGCCAGGAGGAATAATTGAAGATGCTGGAGAAGGATGAGCAGGCAGGACAAGAGGGAGAAGAGACTGGTAGGGATGGGAGGAAGGGCACAGCCTTGAAAGAAGGGACACAGTTTTCTCTGAGGTGAGAAAATTAAGAAAACTTTGTAGCCACTCATAGTTTACACTTCAAAAGAGAGAGAATCTCTGAACTTAAGCTTGATGGTGTTGGAAAATAGGAAAGGAAGTGAGACAGCCGATGAATATCATTGCATGCATCTTCTTTTCCTTCTAGAAAATTTCTTGACTCGGTGTTAAAAAAAGTTGAGAAAGAGAAAAGCTCAATTTTATGAACTCTCCCAAACTAAATTCTGTCAAGTGTTATTTAACTTGTCATTTTCTTTATCACTTTTTATCTTATTTCATATTTCAACATAAAAGGAAAATCTTCACATGTATTTGGATGCAGTAATTGCATTTTCTTAATTGTTTCTCTAAAAATCTGTATTTGGGGGCTATGAAGTCCAGAGGCTAAGAGGACAGAGAGCCTGGCAAATGGAAGTGAGCAGTGTGGCAGTAAACAAGGAGAGCGGGTGGGAATGGGAATGAAAGAATGGCGGTGAAACTTAGTAACCGTAAGGATCGAGAAGAACTGTATCTAAAAGGCCGTTTGTAACTTTACAATTGAGGCATCACTTTTATGAGGACATTTTTATGAATGGAGGATAAAAAGGCACAGGACCACTATCTCTCATCAAGTTTATAGAGAACAAAATGAATTTACAAGTTGGCCAGTTGGAGCAGCATTGACATTTAGGACCTTGAGTGGCTGTAAATTGGTGACTGGAAGTCTTTTCTTGTGAATAACTGGGACTGGCTGGCTACCCTGCTGAACTCTTCAGAGTCTCCTCCGCCTTCCCCCTGCCACCTCCCCCTCCTCCCTCCTCCCTGCCCCTCCTTTCTTCATCTGGCAACCC